TCCCCAGACGGGATACTAGCTAAAATTTGATGGTGGAGCTAATAACACATTAAATTTTATGAACATCGCGCTGAAGAAAAAAATGATGAAGAAAAGAAACATATCAGTTGTTGGATGATTTTATCATTTCAGATAATGATGATTAAGATAATGATGATTATGATAATGCAATTGTGGGTAAATTCAATATGCTACTACGATTTTTTAAATATTTTTTCAAATATGATTTTTTTATATATAAAATTTTATAAAAATATAAATATATGTACCTAAATATGTACAAAACTTTTATAGAGTAGTTTTTTTATATAATTCCATTATTATATCAACAACAAAACAGTACTATGGACCCATCAGATCGCATCCAGATAATTTTTGATGACCCTTAAGCCGGATTTATAGTTTGACGGAACGGAACGGAACGTAGACGTAGACGCACTGTTTATAAATGAACGTAAGCTTATGACGTAACGTAAGCAAAACGGACTAAAACGGAAGAGTTGGCCAACATTTATCTTTTACAGTGCGTTTCTTACGTCTGGCCAATAGGAAACCAGTAAACATAACCCCACCTACATTTTAAAATAACGACTATTAATAATTATTATAATATTATAAATGACATTTGGTAGTTGTTTTTTGTGATCTGAGGTTTATAAATTTGTGTTTGTGCTAAAAACGGACATCTAATAACTTAGTATGTTAAATACTTAACATACTGGTACAGTCATTCTCGTATACTTAAAGAACTGATCTGGATCAACTATATTCATTTAAAAAAAATAATTGTAGGCATTCTCCACTTTTCTGTTACGGTTAATGGGTCTTGTTTTATAACGTCTTGGTCGCCTAATTATTGTTTTTCCAGTTTGTCGACAATTTTTCAATGCTGCTGCACACAACAGTAGACCCACAGTACCAAAAAGTATACCTTCATGTATTTCATAATCCATTGTGACACGGAAGACGAAACAGAATTAAACACAATTAAACAAACACAGACACAATGATTTGTAGGTTAGACGGCGCATGCGAAAAAAGTCCGTTCCGTCGATTTATAAATTGAATACTTTTTTACAGTCCGTTTTTTACGTATCCAGTGCGTCTACGTCTACGTTCCGTTCCGTTCCGTCAAACTATAAATCCAGCTTTAAATTGTTGGCAATAATGTGTTGCACAGTGTAATTTTATATTTCTAAGTAAATAAAAATGCAATTACATTTTTCCCCTTTTAATTTTCTATTAATAAAAAACGAGTAAACAAACGCTGAAAAATTAACCAAATATATTTAAAAGCGAATAAAATAACTTTCGGGGAAATCTTATTTTCGAGACATAATTTCTCTCTCTAAACTCATAAATATTCATCGGCTCCAGTAATCTGTATCTTTTCAAACGGTATACAAATTAAAAGTTTAAATTTAATTTTCATAATTTCAATTAAGATTTGGAAAAAGAAAACTTCATTTTTATTTTACTTTTAATTAGATTTCTTGCTTTATGACCGCTTGAGTGGAGAGTTGATGTTTTAAATATTTTAATTATCCAAACTTAACTTAATTACTTTTATTAAAATGTTTAAAATAATTGTCAAAAAAATATTTATGCGTACTTTTAAACGTAGTAGTGAAATGAGAGCAACCATTACTCCTAGGATATTCTATATATAAAATTAAGAGCAATTTTTAATTTAGCTTTTAAAAACTCTCGTCAATATGGAATCGCCCCATTTATTTTAATGAAATAAAACGAAGAGAAACAAAGGAAAAAAATACATTATGGTCATTTAATCCACGGTTCGTTAGGCGATAGGTTTTTGTTTTAATATTTGATTGATATTTGAATAAAACGTACGCAAGGAAGTTGGACATTTAAAATGATTTATTCGGTGTTATCAGGTTATGCATTATTCATTCTATTTTGCAAAATTAATAAATCTTCATTAGACCATTAGGCTTTATGTTATCTCGTGTCATAAATTGCGAATTGCACAAAGTATTTTCTTTAAAATTTACTGATAAAACCTTGTTACATGTGTGCGCGAATGTTTCTATGGTTATCTAGAAATATTCATATAAAAGCCAAGGAGAGAAAAATATCGTTTATTTTTATGATGTGATTTAAACACAGACCACCAAAACAAATGGACGGATTTGTTTACGTTTAAAAAACGAGTAAAGCATAGTTTCACATTCTAAACACCGTCGAAAGAAACACGGCTTCCAACGTTGTCAGAAGTATAGATTACACTCCTTTTTGGACGTTCATCATAACATAATGAACATTAATAATTACCAGTAATTCGTTTGAATAATAAAAAAATTGTAAAAAGGATTTGTTCATAATTTTATTTAGATATTTTTCTCTATTTAAAGAAAGTAAATCATTTAATAATTATTAAAATTAAATATTAACAACGTTGGTAAATTCGTCATATTTGACAGCATAGAAAAAGGTTATGTTCTGTGGGATGACAGCTTGTTGTTTTGTGTTTTCGTTTGTGTATTTCTATCGTGTTTAAGTTAATTATGGAGTTTAAATACATTTTTTTTTTACTAAAAATAACAATACATGGAAATATCGTTTGTAAGTACCTACCTACTTATTATTTTTTTAATCCCAATACGTCACTTGAAGAAAACATAAAATTATATCGCCAATTAAACGCTTAGACTCAGGGCCGGGCCTAAGGGGGGTGTAGGGGGGGGAGTCACCCCCCCCAAAGTCTTGGCAGTTGGTTCCAAATCCAAACACGGTTGGCAAAATCTATAGTATTTGGGTCGGTTGGTTGGGTATACCTACCCTACCAACCAACCCATCACAATAAATAAAATGAAATATAATTTTTAAACTTTACCTACATATTACAAAATTATAATTTTTAATCTATTGTAACCTCCTATAATCGTTACCGTCAAGAAAATTGTATTGGTCAACCTTATTTTTATTAAAGGACATTATATTTCACACAAGCGGCATGTACAAAGTCGGCACCGCCTCACGGCTTTGTCTTTCTAAATTATTAATTAGTTAAAGCTTATCTAAGCTAAGTAAAACTAGTGTCAAAAAATAGGAATTTTTTTTTAATAAGGAAAGCTAGACCTGGCCGAGTTCTAGTAAAATGCTCATTATGTGGATCTGTGTTTAACAAGGACTAGAAAAAAATGCAGGAGGAAAATATGCACGGTGGAAATTTGGTTAAAATTAAAATTGTTACTGTTCCGGATAATCCACTTACATTGGTAGCAAATAAAAAAAATAGAGACTTCAAAAGAGCATGCTAATGGTAGGTAAAGACATTCTTTATCTACACTTTACAACACTTTACATTCATGATAAAACTACTGAAAATTTTTACTATTACTACTAAAGTATCGATAAAAAAATAAGTTGGTTTTTTTATCGTCTCCACCCCCCCAAAAAAGTGTGCCTCGGTACGCCCCTGCTTAGACTGTGACCGTTTGTTGACGTCACTAAAAGAAAACATAAAATTCTATCTTCAATTTGACGCTTAGACTGTGACCGTTTGTTGACTGCAAACAAAGCATTGTTATTGAATGGCAATGCGCCGTCCATTTGTTTTGGTGGTCTGTGGATTTAAATTAACCATGGGAATCATTCTTCACAAAATTGCATGAATTGTTTTATTAAATAATACATTTTATCTTCAAGCGTTCTATAATAATTTAAGCTTTATTTATTGTCAGCGCTAACTACCAAAGTATTTAATTATATGATATAATTAATCTCCTAGGCTGTAAACATAATTTAGACCAATCAGGTGAAGTTTTTTAAATCCTAGTTTGTATCAAAACCCGTTAGAACCAATACAAAAATTCGATAACTGCTGACAAATCTTCGCTCAATTATAGGCCGCGTTGGACATTAAACTTTGAGCTCAGCACAAAAAGACTCACTTCTTAACCTTATGATATAAATAACTATTACTACCCTTTATTTTCGCTACATCTAATTAGTATTTATTTTATAGTTAGATAAACGTTAATATTTATTCTTTTTCTATATTTTTATTAATTTACTACCTTTTTATGTTCTTTCGATATTTGTTAGCTTAAAGTTTGTTCGTCTTTCTATTTTATTTATTTGTTTTGTTTACTTTTTTTCTAAACACACACAATGGTGACTAGCTTTCCAGGGCATAAAATCGTATTGGATTTAAGCATTTATCTACGTAGATCCAGGATCATGGACATATACATTAGGGTGAGCCAAAAAAACTAACCCATTGGATTTATGGGTTAAAATGAACCTACATACCGAGCAAAAAATTTCCCTGCAAGGCAAAGTTTTTTGCTCAATTTTAAAAGGTGTCGGTGAGCATTCCATTGAAATAACACGTAAAAAAATATTTTTTCATTAAAAAGACTATAACTCACAGTGCGCCTCTGTAAAGTTTAAGTTTTATGAAAAGACCACCCAAATTTTTTTGTTGTTGATTATAGTGGACCATCCCCTCATTACATACCACTAGTCACCTAAATCGCAGCTGATCCTTCTTGAAAGTTTTTTAGCTCTTTAGATTTTTTTTTATTTTTTAAGTATTTTTATAAAATTCAATTAATTTCCAAACAAATGCTGGCTTTCTGGCAGGCAGATAGATAAAATTACAAATATTATCAGAACATCGGCAGGAAAAAATCAATACCCAGGCAATATAGAACCTCGCGAAGAAGTCGATCTCGTATTTTGTTTAAATACTATAAAGAAGTTTTTTAATTTTGGAAACCTTAGAGGGAAAACTCCTACGGACAGTTATTTATGCAGATGCAAGTGACCTAGTAAACGAAATTTTAGAAAGGAAACAAGAGTTTAGCACACCAAATGTCAAGGTTTTGTTCGATGGAGGCCAACATTTTTTAAAATCCAGAAGATCCAGAAAATAAAGAGAATGAAATTTCATTGCGTTCGAGGAATTCAAATGGAGGTAACGCTGCAAAAAAGGAAAACTTATAGATGTTAAGAGACTGATCATCCTCTGTATGGTTCCTAACATCAAAGAAACGTACGAAAATCTTAACTTACTTTTTGACTTGGTAAAAATAAACAAGATATCCTTTAAATTTCTTTCTGACTTTAAAATAATTCTAATGGTTAATGGCTTACAGACAGCAACATCGTCCTACCCATGCCCTTATTGCTGCATTTCGTTAAAAGAACTTCGATCATACAGTGAATATCATAAAGAGTTGCGCTCCTATGGCGATAATACACTACATTTTAATAAATTTGACTTAATTTTTGAAAAAAAGTTAAAACGTGGAAATGAATCTTTTAGTACTATCAATAAAGCCATTTTCAAAGAAGAAGATGACGTTAAAATTTTCAAGAAATGTATTATTCCGGAACTTTATCTTTTGCAAAGATTTATTAATCATTTATTTTTTAAAGGACTTTTACCACTGCTAGGCAAAGAAAACGCATTAAAATGTCCTAAACAGCTACACTTAGTCACGAAAAATTATCAAGGAGAACTTTTTGAAGGGAATGCCTGCAGAAAGTGGTTGAAAAATGCAGAAGATTTAAAGTCAAAAGGGATATTAGTCAACCTGGAAGAAGTTTATGGTATACCCTTTGTTGTGGCTTTCAACACAATGAATCGTATTGTTGAAAAGTGTTTTGGTTCGAAGCTGCTTTGTACCTTAAGTAAACTGAAGGCTGACATGTCACTTTTGAAAGCAGTTTTAAAGGGCGCAGGAGTCTCGCAGACCCTTTGGAGCATCTTGTAGAAACGGTCCAATTTTTTAAAACTTGGTTGGGTCTGTGGTCGGAACAAGCTGGTGAGTCTGTTCATCGAGAATTTTTGTTAATTTGGAAGAAATACAAAATCAATGATGTAAATGATCTGCGATACGGACAGTAGTGTTATAAAGAATTTTGCTCTTGTTTGAAATTGTTTTAAAGTTTAATTAATTTTTGTAATATTTTAAGGGTAATAAATTTGATATATTTTGATTTTGTTAAAGACTGTCAAGTATAGTGCACTGTATTTGATATATTTTTAATTTTCTTATTATAATCTACAAGTATAAACCGATACATATAAATACAATAAACCGATTTTGTCTCCATTTAATTGAATTTTATAAAAATACTTAAAAAAAAATCTAAAGAGCTAAAAATCTTTCAAGAAGGATCAGCAGCGATTTAGGTGACTAGTGGTATGTAATGAGGGGATGGTCCACTATCATCAACAACAAAAAAATTTGGGTGGTCTTTTCAAAAAACTTAAACTTTACAGAGGCGCACTGTGAACTTTTGAACCGTTTGAGATAAAATTTTTTACGTCGCGGATTCTTGTAGAGCATAAAATTTCCCAAAGAATCTATACCAGGATTATTTTTTTTTAATTCAAAAATTCGTATGTTTGAAAGCTTTGAAAAGTGTAAAAAATCACTAAAACTGCAGTTTTAAAATTGAGCAAAAAATTTTGCCTTGCAGGGAAATTTTTTGCTCGGTATGTAGGTTCATTTTAACTCATAAATCCGATAGGTTAGTTTTTTTGGCTCACCCTAATATACATCTATAGAATGGATACGCAATTCTCATTGTGGTGTATTGTAAGTAAAGCATAACATGTGTGAGCCGTTCTGTCAGTGTAAACTTTACAAGTTTGTTTTGTGTGTTTTTGCTTTAAACAAAATTAAAAATGTCGTTTTCAATATCAAAATACATTAGTGGTTTGTTCTGCGTTATAGTAACAAAAAAGAATCTGAAATAGCCTTTGATAGAAAATAAAACGTGGAACGATGTTGTGTTGTTGGGTGTTTTTCGCGTGGAAATGTGAGGTTGAATTTTTACCGATTTCCCAATAAAGAGTGGGAATCCGAAGAAGATGAAATAAGTATACAGTCCCTATAAATATCAATTGTAGTGATTAGCGTGAAAATTGTTAACATTTAAATTCAGTAAAATCATAAAACAAATAAGTCGTGTAAATGGAAACAGCATTATGAATTATTAAAAGCTTTGATTGAGAAAGTCTTCACTCAACGGTAAAAGACCAAAAACGATATTAATACCCCTTTTATATCATGTTGCCATGAATTCGTAGTTAAAAAATATTACTATTTCAAATTGCAGTTGTTGGTGTCTTTTTAGAGGACTCAAAAATGCTTGATTTTAAGGTTATGCTTTTGTGAATTCTAAATGTCCAAACTTAAATATAAATTATAAAGTTATCACAAATTGTGATTCAAAATATAATTACGTACCGAATTGGATCCTTTGGCAAATCATAAAAATGCAACTTAGTTCTTGAATAACATTTACAATTAAAAACACAATAATTCACTATGATCACATAGAAATAATACAAATTCGATAAAGAAAAAGCTTGTTATGGCCTAGGCCGATAAAAATTTTTATGAGGCAAGTAATTAGTTCGATTTTTTCTCGCTAGGGGTATTGTTTTGACAAATTATTCCTTTTCTAAGAAATTAACGTACTAATAAGCACTAATTTGTATGTTTTACTGTTAATGTTTATTATTTTTTATTAAATTATTGTAAAATTAAATATGAATAATAAAACAAAAAGTGAGGTTAGGACATTGCAATTTGACGTTTCTGTGGATTTCACAGTTGTGTTTTCTTTTTCTGCGATTTAAATTGCTTTAGGTTTTCAGTGAAATTAAATGTTAAACACAGCGTAAACATTCCAAACTACCTATTTTTTTAATACAAATGCAAACAAATTGAAATTAGATACCTATTTATTAAACAATTAATTGAATTCAATGTAAACCATTTTCTTACAAAAATCCATTTCTACTTAAATCATGTAGCTAGGTATTGTCAAATTATTACTGCTTCTAATAGGAATAATAATTATTGTAAATTTAATGTAATCTTTAGCTAAGAAATAAATGAGATTCTAAAAAAGTGAGGTTAGGCCGCTTTCATGTTGAATTAAATTGACCTATATAAAGTGCTTTGAAGATAAAATGTTGTATGCCATTCGGCCAAGAAGTGTCTTTTTGTGCTTCGCTCAATTGAAACTTTGAGCTTAGCACAAAAAGCCTTACTTCTTAACCTAATGACATAAGTAACCATTTTATTTAAAAATGATGTGCAGTTCGTACGCTTTAAATGTATTGTTGACAAACCTTCCAGTCCAATATTGCTATCGAGCGCCACCAGATGGCGCGCGCATTGGGAAACCCGATTCTTATTTAGCGTATACTGAACTGGTGGAAAACGATATCAAAATATTTATCTCGTTTTGTCAAAAATGGACAAAGACTTTCTGTTCCCATGGGAACACCAGAGACGTCAGTACTATTAAAAAGTCAATTTAACACTCTTAAAGCCTCTAACATTAACATTTTTAAATGCACGGTGAAAATGTGCTGCGATTTATTTCCAAGTTGTTCGATTTATAAAACCAAACAATAAGTTTACTTACTATCATCAATAACATCATAATGTGTTTATCATTCTGTGCTAGTGTTGTGTAGTAAAATTGTTATTTACTATTGTTTTACAGCAATAGTTAAACAGTATAATTTGGTTGAGTGAATTTAAAAAACTTGCACAAAAAACTTCACCTGTTTGACATTGAACTAATAATTGTTTAAAAGGAGAAAAAAAAGTTAAAAAGTTCTTCCCCGGTCAGGATTTGAACTCGCCTGCTCGGGGTCTTCGAGAGCGCGTATTCGCACTGCGCTACTCGGCGATCTGATTTAATTCGCGTTAATTATCAACATGTCTATCTGCGCTACATGCAATGCTCCTGCAGCAAGAAAACCAACTGTTTATTGTGACGGGTTTTGCAAGCGCCTTTTTCATACTTCCTGCGTTGGAGTTACTTCTGATATCCAAAAATTGTTACCAACTTGTCCCGGGTTATCTTGGAAGTGCGATAAATGTTACAACGATGTTAACGACAGTGTTTATACTAATTTAGAATCAAAGATAGAAACCCTATTTGAAGATTTAAATTCTCTTTTTAATAATGCTAAAATCGATTTTAAACAAATAGCAGAAGAAAAGCTTAAGTCCTTGCAACCTACTTCATCACCTATGGCTGGAACCTATGCAGAAAAACTAAGAAAACAGTCTTCCATAATTATCAAACCCAACGATGAATCTCAGCTTAACTCTGTTACCAAAATGGATATTATGAAAAAAATTAACCCTCTGGTTAACATCATCAAAATTAATTCAGTTAAAAATATAAAAAAAGGTGGCCTAATAGTGGGTTGTAATGATGTTGAAGAAGCAAATAAGTTTAAGGAATTAGCTGATAAGGAGTTGAAAGACTATAAAATTAAAGATGCCAATAAAATCCAACCTAGAGTCAGAATTGTCGGTCTTTCTGAAAAACTGAATGAGGAGGAAATAAAGCAGTATTTACTTTTGCAAAATAAGGAATTAATTTGCGATCAAGCTACAGTTAAGATTGTGGAAATAAAAGCCTTAAAAAATAAGGATACGGTTTACCAAGCAGTACTGCAAACTGATATCATAACCTACCAAAAATTGCTGAAACATGGTTTTGTAGTTATTGGGCTGGACAGCTGTAAAGTGTACGATGCCATAACGGTACTACGTTGTTTTTCTTGCAATGGCTTTAATCACGACTCCAGCGTTTGTTCCAAGAAAGATGATCCTATATGTCCCCGATGTGCCGAAAATCATTCTGTTAAAGATTGCCAGTCCGAGTCTTTAAAATGCATAAACTGCTTAAATTTAAAAAATAAAATTGGAATAGACATTTGTCATGCCGCCTGGGATCATGACAAATGTCAGGCTTTAAAAAATGTTTTAGGGAAATTAAAATATGACGTCTTTGGTTTGCAATAGCAATCAAATTCCATCCTCCATAATGCAAATAGAAATAAAAAAAAGCTTGACAGATTGTTAAAAATATATTACCAAAACGTACGTGGGTGTCGATCCAAAGTGGAAGAATTGCATGCGTCTGCCTTCGAAAGGGAATTCGATTTAGTCTGTTTAACGGAAACGTGGCTGTCGGAAGAAATAGCTAGTTCAGAACTGTTTCCTAATGATTATGGTGTTCTTAGGAGCGATCGTAATTTTGAAGCAGTTGGTGTATCTCGAGGTGGTGGAGTCTTATTGGCCTACAACTCAAACTTTATTGCTGAACGTATTAATCTTGATATATTACAATCTCGACATCCTTGTATTGACATTGTTGGAAGCAGTATTATTTTTAATTTTAAGAAAGTTTATGTTTTTGTATTGTATATTCATCCCAGAATTTCATATGTTGAGCTGGACTCATTTCTAAATCTCTTTCATGAAACCATTATTCTCGAAGACAACAAAATTATACTAGGCGACTTTAATATTCCGCATCTTAATAATGTTACGGTTAATGATAATAGCAGGAAGATAATGATGGATTTCTTAGAATTTTCAAACATGTCACAATTTAATAATATCGTTAATGTTAATAACAGACTTTTAGATCTTGTTATTGGTGACGTAAAATGTGAGGTAAGTAGAGAGTTTAACCCCATATTAATTGAGGATGTTTACCATCCTGCTTTAGTTGCGAACGTTATGTTAATAAAAGAGAATGTACCAAATTTTCCAAAAGTTTCCGATAACCTAAAATATAACTTTAAAAGAGCTAATTTTCATGGACTTTATATGGCTCTGCTTGGTGTTGACTGGGAATTTTTATACAATTTTAAAGATGTTAATTTAGCCTGCAATGAATTTTATAAAGTTATTTATAACATTTTAGATTCATTTGTCCC